CCCCTTGCTTACCTCAGCAGCTTTCAGAGAAGAGGAAGACAGTAATGGTGTTTCCAGATCATCTTACCCCCCTCAATTTATTTGTAGGGTTCAAGGCACTGCATCCCTTGCTTTCAGATGGGTTGGGGTCGAGTGGTTGCCAAGTGTTACAATTTAGTCAAATGCCCGTACTTGGGCATTCACCAGACTGCTGTGAGGGATCAAGCCATGGAATTATAGGTGTTCTTAGCTTGCTGGGGGCTTGGGCAGAGTCTTGGCACTGTCCTTGGTTTTGCATCTTTAGCATTCACTCCAGGAGCAGACTTCTTATCTGATACCCCTCTTGGCAGTTGGAACCCCCCTTATACAACTGTCTAGACCAGGGGTGGCCAAACCGCGGCTCACGAGCTGCATGCAGCTCTTTTACAGTTAAAGTGCAGCTCACAGCGCTGCCCACGCTCCCCCATTCTCCACCTGCTAGACTGGAGTGGAGCTCGGGACTTCAGCCCCATGGGGCACCCCTGCCGGGGCATGGCTCGCAAACTTGTGAAGATTATCGTATGCAGCTTGGAGGGTCAGTAAGTTTGATCATCCCTGGTCTAGACCCTGAAACTAGGTTCTGCCAACCTTCCCCTGCAGCTCTTGCACATTCTCCAGAATCCTACTGAAGATGTGAGCCGTCTGGTTTACAGTTTCTTTTCTGGGGCATGTGATAATTGTAGCACCTCACACATGCAGATACACTTCGCAGAGGATTCTAACATACCATTTTTCATTACTTAACAGAGAGAAAGCACCAGAGAGTACAGCTCATTTAGAAAATAACAAACATGCTGAACAGAGTGCCCCCTCACTCTAGCTCTCCCTTCACTTGGAGTCCTTGGGGGACTGTCTATAGCAGGGGTCGGCAACGTTTGGCACGCGGCTCGCCAGGGTAAGCACCCTAGTGGGCTGGACCAGTTTATTTACCTGCTGACGCGGCAGGTTCGGCCGATCGCGGCCCCCAGTGGCCGCGGTTCGCCGTCCTGGGCCAATGGGGGCGGCGGGAAGCCGCGGCCAGCACATCCCTCGCCCGCGCCGCTTCCCGCTGCCCCCATTGGCCCAGGACGGCGAACCGCGGCGAGTGGGGGCCACGATTGGCCGAACCTGCCACGTCAGCAGGTAAATAAACTGGCCCGGCCCGCTAGGGTGCTTACCCTGGCGAGCCGCGTGCCAAACGTTGCCGACCCCTGGTCTATAGGTCAGGTAGGCAGGATTCTCCCTGCCTCATCAGGATTCTGCAGCAGCTTCTCTCTGCTTGATTGGTGAAAATGGCTGAAGACCCCAAATAGACAAGCTCCTGACCTTTTATTAACCTCTCAGTCCCTCTGTCATTTGATGCCTGGATCAGCCTCCTCAGGTGATCACAGACCCCCTACTTTGTTGCCAGGCAGCCTCTCCCCAGACAAACCAATTCTTCTGGGTGGGAGGCCAGCTGTTGTCTAGGATGTTAGTATTTGAACAGAGGACCAACCAGATTAATGACCCTCTGTTGTCAGCTTTATATCAGTACCCTTTGGAATTTCAGTCCAACATGGAGGTAAAAGGACAACAGAGAAGACACAGAGCTGCACATTCAAAATGGCATTTTCACCTTGGTAAAGATACATCTAGAGAGTTCATAATCTCACACAGAATCCATAAATTGTACAGACAAATTCCCCAAATCATCACAGCAAACTAGCCCCTTTTTTCTCTTTCTTCCTCATGGCAGACTATAGGGCTGGCAGGATAGAGAGGCAATAGGACAGGGAGACCATTGCTAAGGTAGTCTATTTCACATGCTAACTTTTTTCAGGAATGTTAACAGCCTGTGGCTGTCTTTGGCTGTCTTGATGGTATCTGTGGATCCTTTCCACTCTCATATATGACACTTTTCTACACCAGAACTGTTTTTGGTACAGGGATTTCCAAACTCTTTCATCATGTGGGACAGATTTTGGCAGTGATTGTCTTATGGACCACCTATCCTGCCATTCACAATTACACAGACAATTTTCTCCTCCATTTGCCATCTCATAACATCCCCTTGGAAACTACTGAATGTACTGACATCTAAAAATATTAGAAAGGTATTGTATTTATAGCTGTTGTTTAATGCAATTTAGCAGCTGGAAATGAGGGAAAGGAGCCATCAGCTGGTTACCAGCCTCCTCTTGGACTATCAACAGGGAACCTCTGTTTTAGGCTGCTGGATACCGGTGTTTGGGGCCCTGATTCATGAAAGCAAATCTTTTCAGGACTGCACTTAAGCATGTGCTTAAGTTGCATTGAAATTGATGGGACTCAAGAATATGCTTAAAGTTAAGCCTGGGGTGAGCTTAAGACAGGGTTTCTCACAACAAATTTTTTGGTGGCCTCAGAGTGTGGCCACCAACTCTTGCTGACAATTTTTCCTAAAATACTTAATTAACTTTTGGAAAAACAAACAAATATGCACATATACATGTCCAAATCATTACAATTTATTTATGTATGGGTTTTTTTCAGACTCGGTAATAAAAATAATTTACAGTTGTCTCTATTCTTTACTGGACCTAAACAGAATAGAAACACACATAAGGCACTTGGCATGTTCTTGTCTTTTTGTTGTTGTTTCTTTTGCTTCTTTGGTTGTGCTTTTTTTTTCTTCTTCTAAGACTTGCTAGCTGGTAAGACTTCTGCTGTAAAAAGTGATATTTGTATGTTTGTTAATATCGCTTTTCACAGCAGGCTGACTCAGCTACGGCAAGCCTGGGACAAATTAAGCCCTGAATGGAGAGGCTGGCAGCAGGGCCGGCTCCAGCTTTTTTGCCGCCCCAAGCGGCAAAGGGGGGGGGGGGGAGATAAAGCCGCGATTGGCGGCACTTCGGCAGCAGCTCTACCACGCCGCTTCATTCTTCGGCGGCAATTTGGCGGCCGGTCCTTCCCTCCGCCGAATTGCCGCCGAAGACCCGGATGTGCCGCCCCTTTCCATTGGCCGCCCCAAGCACCTGCTTCCTGCGCTGGTGCCTGGAGCCGGCCCTGGCGGGCAGGGAGGCAGCAGGGCCCAGGGACAATGGCGGGGGTGGTGAGCCTGGGGCCGGCGCCTGGAACCAGAGCCTGCCACCATGTGGATGGAGCCTGAAGCCCTGTGTCTGACGCCTGCCTCTCCTACCCCTGGGAAAGTGGGGAATTCACCAGCTGCCTGCACCTCCAGAGCTTGTCTCTGGAGGGAGGCAGGGCCCAACTGCTGCTGATTAGTTAATAGGTTCTTATCTTGAAACTTCCCCCCCTCACCTGAGGGGGGGGCGGGATAGCTCAGTGGTTTGAGCATTGGCCTGCTAAACCCAGGGTTGTGAGTTTAATCCTGGAGGGGGCCATTTAGGGATCTGGGGCAAAAATCTGTCTGGGGATTGGTCCTGGTTTGAGCAGGGGGTTGGACTAGATGTCCTCCTGAGGTCCCTTCCAACCCTGATATTCTGTGATTCTACTAGAAGATTCTCTAGTTATCAGTTGCCAGTGTATGTACTTTACTGTGCAGACCATTTGAAACCAGTAAGAGAAGGACCTTTGTGATTTCTTGGATATTAGTTTTAATAATTATTATTATTTATCTTACAGTGGCACTTAGAGGCATCAACTAAGATCAGGGTCCCATTGTGCTATGTGCTTTTCAGATGTGTAGGAAGAGACTATCCCTGCTCGAAAGAGCTCACAATTTAATTAGTATACTGAACTCATCAAGACTATGCAGATGTATAAGTTACTCATGTGTAGTTTTTGTGCAGGATTGGGGCCTGGTTTGTACTTGATCTTTAGTTTACTACCATATAGGATGGCTTTTAAAGTAACTTTGTATCAATGTCATGAAAATGTATCAGCCTAGGCACAAAATCTTTTACCCCGGTTAACGTATAACATGGAGAGAGGGAAATTAATGATATTTTTTCCTTGGCTATTTTAAAAAAAAATTGCTTTGGGTAAGTAAGTGAATAGACTACTGCAAAGCTGCTATAAAATATCTTGATTAAACAATAGAAAGGTATTAAAATAGTTTTAAAAAATTGAATCCAACCATGTTTCGAGAATGACGCTGTGAACTTGAAGACATATTGGTTGCTATGGAAATAGCACTTTAGAACATTCATTGGTTTAAATCTTGTGTCTGCAGCCATGTTTTCAATAAGATTCGGTTGTAATCCACACTCCAGTGGTGCATACATGCAAGGGACAGAAATTGGCCCATAAAATATAAACCATTTTTCTTGTTTATGTACTAGTGAATTTAGGAGAGAAACTGTAGTATTGTGAGTCTCAGGAGAAGGTGGCGGTTCATAGGCACTAGGTCTGACCAAGCACCCTCAGCTTATATTGAACGACCCCCGAAAGGAATAAATTATTGTTCCGTATAACTTCAGAACTGATTTAAAAAATTGTAAGAGGAGAGGATTAAATTGACCCTTAATGAAAGCATTTTTTGCTTTTAAGTTTTTGGCAATGGGAAACTTGTAATCTAGCAATTAACACTATGAACATATACATTCATATCTTGTTCTTATAAGGATTCTTAAGACTACTTCCAAAGCCCATCAAAGTCAACTGAAGGCTATCCCTTGACTTCAAAAGGTTTTAGAGCAGGCCCTTAGTAAAGAAAAGGAAACTTCTTTTTGAAAAAATAGTATTTTAATAGTAAAATACTATCAAATATGACTTGAACAGTATTGCCTTTTAATGATTTGTTTGATGTATTGGAATTTGTGGTATAGAGATGAAGACATGCAAAGCCTGGCTAGTTTGATGAGTATGAAGCAAGCCGACATTGGAAATTTAGATGATTTTGAGGAAGACAATGAAGAAGATGAAGAGAACAGAGTGAATCAGGAGGAAAAGGCTGCAAAAATTACAGGTTGGTCTGGTCACAAAGGGACATCAATAAGATATTGTTTTTTCCCTATAATCAGGAAAGTTCCATGGATTTTATTCTTCTATTATGTCAATATGCTTTCTTATAAAAGAGCAATTTAGGATAAACCAATTGCATATGTCCTGATAATACAGCTACACATGAGGCTAATTTTTGTGAACTTCAGAGACTTGCTTTCTTTGTATCGCATTTTCAGAAGGGGAAGCCAAGGAGAGGTGTAAACAGAGCAGTAGAAGGACAGGAAAAGAGATGGGAACAATCAGGAGGGGAGAAAACAAGAGAGAAAGGGCAGAAATGGAAGAGGAAAAGAAATATTGGGAGACTGAATAAAAGTGGTCCTGTGAATGGATAGAGAGGCCCAACTTGGTCATCAGCAAGCAGGGGACCACTCCGAGGCAGGACCCAATCAGGTTCCCCATAGTGAAAACAGTCTAAAGCAGGGGTCCCCAACGCGGTGCCAGCGGGCGCCATGGCATCTAAGTGCGCCCGCATACTGACCGGCAGACGAGCATCCGCCAAAATGCCGCTGACAAGCAATGTCATCCAGAGGCATTGCCGCCGAAATGCTGCCAATTTTCAGCGGCATTTCGGCGGCGACGCCTCTGGATGACGCTGCTTGTCAGCGGCATTTTGGCGGCGACGCCTATTGACGTTGACGCTTGTCGGCGGCATTTCGGCGGATGCTCGTCCACCGCCACAGTCCAAAAAGGTTGGGGACCACTGGTCTAAAGAATGATCTGCATTAGATAACTGAGCTATTTCAAGTTACATATTATAGCTAAATGGTTATTGAACTTCTTGATCTCAAAAGGGTTTAGTGTGCCCAGGGTGGCTACTGTGGTGAGTGCAAATCAGATCAGCATGTCCAAACACAAAGCTTTCTCCTACAATTGTTATGCCTGTATATTGTGGCACCTGTCCCACAATTTCAGGCACAGCTCTCTCCTTTCTGAATTATGTGTTTCAAGAGTTGAATGTATACTGATTAAAGATGACCTGCAAAGGATTAAAATAGATTGGGTTGTATAAAGATGACCTTAAACATTTTTTTTTTTATTAGTGTGTGTAAGTCATGCTTGTTTTTTCCCTAAGAAATATCAGGAAAGTCAGAACAGGTCTTCCCTGATGTACTTGTTGGGGGTCTGAAATGAAAGCTGTCTCTTCTCAGCTCTTACCTGAACAATGAAGATGATGAATTGTTAAGAGTTCTTCTCCTTGCTATTCAGGCATTTGAGTTAAATAACAATTTCTAATGTAAGAAAAGAGTCTAGAGGAGGAAAGATGCCTTTCAAGTGCCCTCAGTCATAAAGAAGCAAAAAAAAAGGCACAAACACATCCCCTAGTGCAGTGTTTTTCAAAGTTAGGGCTGCAACCCAGTATTGGATCATGACCCAAAAGGCACTGGGTCGCCTTGCTCAGTGACCCAGCAGCTCCGGTCAGCAATGCTGACCAGGATGTTAAAAGTCCCATCGGCGGTGCTGCCCAGCTAAGGCAGCTGATAGTGCCTACCTGCTCTGACACTGCGCTGCGCCCTGGAAGCAGCCAGCAGTAGGTCTGGCTTCTAGGCAGGGTGGCCACGGGGCTCCGCGTGCTGCCCCTCCCTGAGCACCGGCTCCTCACTCGGAGCTGGGGGCGTGGGGCGGTGCCTGTGTGGGTGAGAGCCGCGCAGAGCCGCTTGTGCTCCGCCGCCTAGGAGCCAGACCTGCTTCTGGCCACTTCTGGGGTGCAGCGCAGTTCATGGTCCCAGGACAGGCGGGAAGGCTGCCTCTGCACATTGGCTGTGCCGCTGACCAGGAGCCGCCGGATGTAAGTCGTGCCCCAATCTCCTGCCCCAGCCCTGAGACCCCCCCCCAAACGTGGAACCTGTTCCTGCACCCCAAACCCCTCATCCCCAGCCCCACCCCAGAGCCTGCACTCCCAGCCCAGAGCCCTGACCCCCTCCTGCACGCCAAACCCTGCACCCCAAGCCCAGAGCCCTGACCTCCTCCCGCACTCCAACCCCCTGCCCCAGCCCAGAGCCCCCTCCCACACCCTGAACCCCTCATTCCCAGCCCCACCCTTAAGCCCTGACCCCCACACCCCAATCCTCTGCCCCAATCTTGAGCCCCTCCCAAACCCCTCATCCCCAGCTCCGTTCGGTCGCGGGCATTAACAGTTTTCTTCAACTGGGTCCCCAGAAAAAAAGTTTGAAAACCACTACCCTACTTGGTGTTCACACCTCAACTGCTAGCAGAGCACCTCACCCTCCCTGATTGAACTAACCTCGTTATCTCCACACTGATTTATACCTGCCTCTAGAGATTTCCATTACTTGCATCTGAAGAAGTGAGGTTCTTACCCACGAAAGCTTATGCTCCCAATACTTCTGTTAGTCTCAAAGGTGCCACAGGACCCTCTGTTGCTCACTACCCTACTGTATCAGGTTAAAAAAAAAAAAAAAAAGTTAATCTAAATAATAGTGTGCTCTGTGGTTTTAATATGATGGGTGAGAGGATGCCAAGTGGAGCCAAGACCAGCCATGTAATGACTCAGCTGTATGGAATGGGAGGGCATCTGGGGTAGACTATGACAGGTTGCAGAAATGGTTCTCTTGAGTTGTCGAGGGCTATTCCTGAGTGTCACAAGGTGCATTGTGGGATTGCATTGGGAAGACTAATTGAATCATTGGAGTTGCATCATTGTTATTCTAGTCCTCATTAGCACTGAAATGGGTCAGGCAAAAACAGCTATGACTTCTTGGACCTGTAGTGGTACTTAGAACAGCCGTGAAACATTACAATCACTTTTGTTTAGCTTCTAGACTACTTCAGTTTCTGGTTTAAGGCTTTGATCCTATTCTTTAGAGCCCCAACCAGGTCAGGACCCAGCTATGTCAGTGACCCGATCTCCATCCGTGCTGTACTTTTCTGGGACAGTGCAATTCACAAAGCCCAGGATGAAATGTGTGAGAGACTGAGATAAAGCATTCTTGGTCAAGAGGTGGAATAAGACCAGGCTGATCACCTTTAGGATAATGCTGCAAGACCCACCTCTCAGAGGAAGCTTTTCCACCATATCCAGAAGGATGTAGGTACACATACAAAACAGATAAACTATAATCAAGAATAAAAACTAAAAAACCCCACAAACCTGAAGCAAGGCCTCCTATAATTAGGGGGAAGAGAGGAGCGGAAAGCTCCATAAAGCCCACTAAAGACCCTGTGGGAAGACCTACTTTACCTACGAAATACCAAGATATTACTGTGATGGTGCAACAGAAAACCCATATGTAAAGAGGCTGACAGATGTAGAGTGCCAGCTCCTGGCTCCCATTTCTATCCCTTTTGCATTGTACCACTCAAGGGGGACGGAGCGCTTCTCTAACAGCTTCGCTAACGGGGATTCCTGTGATGTTGGGGGAGTCCCCAGCTGGTCTAAAGCCAGCATAGTTAAGTCTATGCCATCCACTTTACTTTGCCAAGTGTAAGGACGTTCCTGGGAGGGCCTAGTGTAGCTTACAGCTGCTTAAAGCTGCTTTTTCCCTCCTCCACACACTTACCCTGAATCCTGCACCAGTCACAGGTTGGACCCACGGTTCTGGCCCAGAGAGCATCCCGCTCTCTGAACTGGGGATACAGTAGATAAGTTTGGTATTTATAACAGACCTTCTGAATGGCTACTTGGAAGGCGGAATGATGAATACCTTTGAGCAAAGAGTATTCCATATCCAATCAGTACTCAGATTGAGATTTTTTCAGGTTTCGTTTTCTTACCATGCAAAACCAGTTTGTTTTTTGTTGTTGTAAATGTTGCACTCTAGGGCTATGTCTACACTACAACTTATGCTGGCATAAGCGCTAATGTGCACAGTGAGCTTCTCCCACTGACACAGCTTCTGCCGCTCAGGGGGGTGGGTTTTTTATGCCAAGAGGAGAGCTCTCTCCCATCGGTGGAGAGTGTCTTCCCCACACACGCTGCACCGCTGCAGCGCTGTAAGGGTAGGCATGTCCTAAGACCCACAGATAAAAAGCCTGAAAGGAAAAGGTCAGCCTCAGAGACAGTTTTGTTCTGTTTGCTGCAACTGCTGAACTATGCCATTAGCTGAACATCTCCTGTTTGAGAGAGGTGAGAAAGGGAATTGGGCAGTGGGAGGGAGGGTGGAGGAGAATGAGTGCATGTAGTTTTCCAGAGTAGATGAAATAGCACAAAGAAAGGACAATAAGTAATCAGGAAAAAGTAAATATTAAGGTCCTGTTCCAATATCCATTGAAATCAATGTAAAGACTCCCATTGACTTTGATGGAAGTTGGATTGGGTCCTAAAAGAGCTACAGTAAATGTACTGAAAGGGGAAAGAAATGAAATTCCAAGGAAAACTAAGAACCAAAGGGGGAAAATATCTACAGTAGAAAAAGAGATGGGAAACATGGAGTTAGACCAAAAGACCCAGCTATTTTGAAAAGGTGAAGGAATATATAAAGAGGAAACAGAAAGAGGTAGTAGGGCACTATAAAAATCAGTCTTTTGAAAATAATTACATTTACAGAACCATTTAAAGCTAATTGAGAATAAGTGCTGTCAGCCACTTTGAACACTTGTTTTCTGCCTACATTTTCTCACACATTGTCTGGTTAGGATATTGCAAGACAAGGACTCTGTGCAGTTCTCACAGACTCAGAGTGGCCTTAGGCCACTTAACCTCTCTCTCTGTTTTCCCAACTGTAAAATGGGGATAACAACACTTAACTACTTTACAGGGTGTTTTGTAGATTAATTGGTTAATGTTTGTAAGAGCTTTGAAGATGTAGCATACTGTACAAATAGTGGAATTAAGTGTTATCTTACTTTTGACTCCAGGTCTAATAACTCAGCTGTCTCTTTCATTGTCTGGAGATTGAAAGATGGCTGTACTGAAGGATGTATATGTAAAATGAATTCTGAGGATTTTATTGCAAACTCTGTTCCTTTTGCAGTATACTATGAACATTGGATTTGGGTCAACAT